ATTGGTTCTATTATAATACTTTAACAATTTTTCTTTGCACTTTTCTGCTGCTGCTTTAATTGAAATAATATTTTCTGCATTAATAATTTCTTTTGCATGATCTATAAGAGTATTATAAAGAGGTATTGTAGTGGAAAGTGTAGGATATGTACTGCTTGACATTATAGTTGTAATTTCTTTAAATGGCTGAAAAAAATTCATTATTTTTTCAAGTTGATGCCATTGATCATCAGCAAGTACATGAATTCTAAGATCTTTATCTGAAAGAGCTATTGAATCTAGAGCCTAAATATTAATTAAAATTATTAATATCAAATTAAAAAAATTAAAATTATCAATTGTCAAATTAAAAAATTAAAATTATTAAAATATTAATAAAATATTAACTGTTCTCATTTCAAAACTTCTTTAATATTCCAAAGAAAGTAAAAAGAGATTAGAAAGTTCCAAACTAAAAGTTAATGATCACATAAATCGAATTATTGGAAAAACATCAATATGAAACAAGACAACACGATCAAAAACATCACATTTCAAGTACTGTTGTTGAACAGAAAAATTCCTGTAACCTCTGTTATACAAATTTAATTATTACTATAGTATCCTTTAAAATTCCTGGAAAATTTCAAAAAGTTAGAGATTCTATTATAGACTATTTCTAGAAACAAATTGATAAACATAAGCGACTACAACATAAACTCATATATCTACCTCCATTTCTGCACTTACAAATATATTTCAACCTTTCACAAGTACTTCTGGAACTACACTACCTTTAACTTTTTCAAATACTATCAAATCAAATATGGCTATAACATAAAGACCAATTAAAAGAGCTCCTTAAAAAAGTAACTGACAGATTTAAAGAAACCACTCAATCAATGAAATCTGAAGCACATGTGTTTCCAATAGAACCATTCTATAGAAAAGTCACTAAAGATCCTGATGAATGGATTGCTAACTTTAACAGAGCCACTAGTACCTACAACTGGTCCAATAATAGAAAATTACAAATAGCTACTGCTTATCTTAAGAGAGTTGCTGCACAATGGTATGATGATAATACTGCTGATATTAATTATTGGAATAATACCACTAATACCAATAGATCTTTCAAACTCCTTTTTATCAAATGCTTTACAACCCTGAAAAATAAAAATAAATGGCATTATGAATTGCACAACATTAGACAAGAAAAAAATGAGAGAGTAGATGAATACTCCACAAGGTTTAAATGCTTATTGGCCAAAGTAGATCCTATCAAAGCATTACCAGAGAAATATATCACTTGAATATATATTTCTGGTTTAGAGGAAGAAATCGCTATGCTAGTTACATTAGATAACATTAATATTTCAGCTGATGCCATAAAAAATGTAACTAAAATTGAAGTAGAAAGATATTATACTAAAAAAAAAGAAGATAGAAACATACCTACTAGCCGAAATGTAGAAACTGAACTTGATGTAATTACTAAACAATTACAACAAATGTCTCTTAATTATGCTACCCTTACCTCTGCACTTGTTGCTCAAGAAATCTCTAGGATATTAAATTGAACCCCTGGAAATAATTACAATCCTAATAATTATAATAATAACAACAGTAATAATAACTACAACTGTTCCTGTAATGATATTAGAAATAATAATATGTCTCACTGTTTCAATTATAATGAATTTGGTTATATTTCTAAAAATTGTTTGTCTGATCGAAAAAATAACAATAGTTATAATAATAATAATTATAATAATAATAATAATAATTATAATAATAATAACAATAATTGACCAGCACTTTGACAAAATAACAATTGCCAAGGTATTAATATAGTTGAAATCAATGAAGACAAAAATGAATATTACACTGATGACTATGACAGTAAATATGAAATATATGAAGCAATTAGAAATAAACCTCAGGTCTATAATAAGGTACACCAAACTAGAGAACAACAACAAAGACAAAGAGCTAATTTAGGAAGAGAAACTATTTATTAAAGTCTAAATTTTGATAACAACTATATAATTGTCGAACTTTTCACTACTACCATACCAGAACATTAACTATTATTCCTGCTAAAAAATCCAGAACTAAACGTTAATCCTCAGTCATAGATCAATTATCACATTATAAAATTTTTAAAGATATTCTGAACATGCAAGCTAGTATAACCATTGATCAAATGTTACATTATCTAAACCAGAAAAGAAACTTTTTCAAAATTTTAAAAAGACCTATAATAAAAGAAACTAATTTCATAGCAACTGAAGAAAAATGAACAACTACCACTAAGTGTTATGTCCAAATTAGAGAAAATCTAATCAAAGCCATCCTGAACTCAGGAACTACAGTCAGTATTATAACTGACAAATTAAGAAGAAAATTAGAAATCCTTATCAATGTTTTTTCTAAAGTAGTAGTTATTACCACAGGTCAAAATTTAAATATCGGACATTTATCGGGCACCTATCGGACACCTATCAGGGAAAAATAAATATATTGGACATCTGATATGATTGATTATTACTAAGTATCCGATAATTAATTTTGTAAATTTTATCATGTGCCTGATATAATAGTGATAAGTGTGAGATAATTTTATTATTATCTCAAGTCCCCGATATTGTCTTGAATATCAGGTGCATGATACTAAAATAGTAATATCAGGTAGATGATATTTTAATTATTTTATTCGGGTACACAATATTATTATATGCTCATTGTATTAGATAATCTCTTTATTATTTATTATTAAAT